ACATGCAAGTGGCTCAGCGTGGCCAAGGGTTGGCGGCTCCTGGCCCTGCCAGCCTCCGGGAGCCCCAGCCAGAGTTATGTCACAGTGCAAAGGGTAACGCTAGCTGGGACCGCTTGCCACAGGACCTCCAGCCCTACTGTGGGCTCAGCAGCATGCGGAGAAATGCCCATGGAAAGTCCTGGGGTCTCTTGGGTGCAAGAGCATGTCCAGCCTGGGCTGCGACTGCCGGCAGCGGCTGAGCTGCAGGGCGGCACCATGTGCTCTTGCTTTTCCCCACACAGGGGTGTTTGGCCATGGCCTTTGGTGAGGAATCAGAAAACCGCATTTGTGCAGGCAGCAGAGACAGCGAGGAGGGCTGGGGGCTCTGGGTGAAGGAGCCAACCCCCTGGGCCAGCCGTGACCACAGGTTTCATCACCAGCCCCATCTCACAGGGCACAGGGTCTGGCAGGTGCCCATCCTTGGGCTCCATCGTCCCCTTAGAGGTGTAGGGACACGGCAGTGACTCCATGCCGTCCCAAGCTTGGTCTGGGGTGTTCAGCCTTTCTCTGGCCAGCATGGCTGGAGCTGGGGAAGGTCCCCAGAGTGCTGCTGGACCCTGGGACTTTTCCATGGCGTGAGGCTTGCTCTGCTCCATCCAGCACCATGAGATCTCCCAGCTACGCAGAGCAGCCTCCTTTTGCAAAAAGCTTATCTCACCCTCAATAATGTCCACGTGCTGTCTCTGGGAGCTGCCTCTCCCCTCCAGATGTGCAGAGCGTGTCCGTGCATCTGTCCCAAGATCTTGCACTGCAGGCAGCAGCTCCCCTTCCCTGCCTGCTCCCCGCTCCTCTCCCTTGCATGTAGCCTGGGGCAAGCTCCTCTGTGCTCACCTCTGGGAGCGGCTCCCCCTCCGCTGCGGGTGCGGTGCGCGGGCTTGTGCTCTTACTCAGCCTTGCTTTATTTTTAGGAATGTCTTGAAAACAGACTCATTCTTCCCAGCCAGGGGCCAGAGCCAGGTTCCTGAGGCCTGGCTAGAGGCAGCTGGGTTTTTGGCAGGGCTGTCACCTGGGCTCCTCTGAAGCTTTGGGTGCTCTGCGTGGCTGTAGGTACCATGATCTGATCACCCCCCTCCTGGGTGCAGGGTGTTTGAGGGCAGCCACTGCTGCATCCCCATCCCCATGTCCCACCTGGGGCAGCGCCACTTGGAAGGAGCGGAGTCTCAGAGACATTCCTCTGTCGGACTGGGCTTGGAGTGGTGGTTTTTCGGAAGTGCTGGGGTTTAATTTCTGTGTTGCCTTGCTGAAAAGCTGTGTGCTTCTGGGATGAGTCAGAGCAGGCAGGAGCCCAGCAGTGCTGGCGCTGGCGGGGGCAGACAGAGCCGGCGATAAGGGTGTGATAAGGCTACGAGAGCCCTGCTCTTGTGCCAGGGCTGCAGGGAGCGGGCAGCTCTCAAGCCTGCTGCCTGACCTTCAGCTGCACTGCTGTCAAGGAAGCTGGGAGGTTATTTTGGGAATCACGGCGCTGGGAAAATCTGCTATGTCAATCGAGTGTGAGCTAAAGCACTTGTGGGTGGTGTTTTCAAAACACCCCTTCTCTGTACCCAAATCCTTGGGCTTTTCCCTGGGAGCCGGCAGGGAGAGTGGCTGGGGGGCAGCTCCAGCCTCGGTGCTCGCTCCCTGGCTGGGGAGAGGTCCGTGGCCATCCGGCATGTCCCACGGCAGCTGGGGCCCCCCATGCAATCCGACATATCGGTGGTAGTTGACTCCAGCTGATGTCCCACTCTCTACCCTCTTCCCACGATCCCTGTCGCCTTCTTCAGAGTCTGACTGGAAGCTCCCCCCTCCGTCCCTGCAGTTTGTTGTTTATCCTGGTCTGATCTCCACTTTGAACAGGGTCGCTGTCCCCTGCACAGCCCCATGCCCTCCCACCCCTCATGGCACGGCATGCTATGGCGTGGAGATGGAAGCAGCCTTCCTCCCTCATCTCTGGCGGCAGCCCGGTGCTGTTCCCATCTCCAGCAGCTCGTTAGCACCAGCTGGGACCTGAGCAGGGGCTGCTGCAGCCGGCGGAAACATGGGTGGGCTGAGACAGGATTAGACGTGGTCAGTGAAATTCCAGCTGCCCCGTGGTTAGCACGGGGCTGCTGCAGCTCTGGGAAGCCCGATGGGGCCACACATGCTGGCTCTCCTCAGCTGCTTCCTCCCGAATATCCGTTCCTGGCGGCTGCTGGACCGGGGCTGCCCAGGAGAGGTGGGCGAGGGGGGGGGACCTGGGCTGGGCAGTGGGGACCAAAGGCACCCCCACTCACCCGCGTGGGCTGGAGGGGGCAGAGGTGGGGTGGTAGCAGGCGCCCCTGAACAAGTGGATGGGATGGGCTTGTGCCCTGCTTCCCAAACACCCCTGGGCGCTGGGCTCCATCACCCGTATGTCGGGGCTGCTGAGGATGAAGAGGAGCGTGCAGGCAGCCGTGGCAGCCCCTGGGAGATGGCGGTGTGTGCTGCTCTGGGGCTGCGAGGCTGCCTGCAGTCAGCATCGAGGAGGTTTCTCACTGCCCGCAGGCACGGCAGTGCTGGTGGGAGATGCTCTGGGTGGCCGAGGGCTCTCTGAAGCAGCCTGGCCTCCAGCTGGCACCAGCAACGCCGCTGGCCCCTGCTTGGTGCCCACTCCCTGGCTGGGCTGGGCGAGGTGCCTGCGGGGTAGGGCCCTGGAGTGGGTGCTTGCGGGTTCCTGGCATGTTTGCATCTGCAGTTGCAAGGAGCGAATGAGAGCTGTGACCCTGGGCAGGGTCGGCGTGCTGGGGGGCTGCCTGCACTGCCAGCCCCGGGCTGGGGCACCGCCAGAGGTCCTGATGTTTGCAGGGGCCATAACCGGGAGGCAAGCGCTGTGCATGTACCGAGGCAATGCCGTGGAGCAGCCCTGCTGTGAATACGTGCCAGCCAAGGGCAGGAGGGTGCCCCGGAGCCTGGCTTTGCCTCACCTGCCCCCATGGTCAGGGCACCCAGCCATGTCCCACTGGGGGCCTCCCGGGGCCGAGCTGCTACCTGGGCGCTGGCTGACATGAGCAGCGTGTTCGCAGGGCTGGCTGCTTGTCTTCAAACAAGGGCGCTGGGGTTCAGGAGAGGGAAACCCAAAACTCCATCCTTGAGACGATGGCTGTGTTTGCTGAGGAAATAGGAGTTGGAAGCAGCTTTGCTTTAGTGCTTTCCCTAACCCTGACACTGCCCCTGTGCTGATTCATTGATTTGGACGGGTTATATACTGGGAGGGGAAGCATGAACCACACTCGGCTCTCTTGCCAGCACGGAGCTGTGCTCGCTCGGCGCTCACAGCTGCAGAACACTCGGGTAAGTCTCCTCTCCACTGCCGCTCCTGTGAGCGGCCCTGGGCCCGGGGGGCTCCCGGGGCAGCTCCGAGGGGTGGTGGTGCGGCAGCGGGATGTGCACGTTCAGCATCTTTTGATTTGATGGAGATGTTTGTCTTGCAAGGGTTCTCCAACGAAGCAAGACTACTTAGGCATTGTGGGAGCTGAAGTAGTTACATAGGTGACATATCCTAAATAATAACCAATAGAGAAAATTAAGGGGGCAAAGTAAGATTTAGAGGGGCTGAGGTTAGGAGCAGTGGGATGCTGAGGGGCTGAGCGGTAGGGCATAATCAGCTCTTTGGTCTGTAAACTTTTTGTCCCTAGACGAAAAGAGGAGATAAATTGTTTGCAGCTGCCTTTCCTGAAGGGCGCTCCAGCGTGGATGCTCTGAGCTGCCTTACCAGGGAGTGACATGAGCAGGGCTTTTGATGTGCAGAGCGTTTGGGGAAGTTTATAAATGGCTTGCTACAAAAAAAAGCTGTTCTTGGATGCAGATTGTTTCCATATGGGAAACATAAACTGCGCTGGCTTGTGGAGGGTTCCTCCCTCCCTGCCAGGAGCCAGCGTCTTCCCTGAAGGGAGCCTGGGGCGGAGGGCAGGGGCTGTGCCCCCAGCACCCCGGGGTGCCATGCCAGCCTGGGCACCGTGCCTGGACCCCTGCGCTGCTGGACTTGCCTGTCTGGCTGAGCCGTGCTTGGGGACGGGGGAGCCGTGGGTTTTCTCCCTCCCTTGTGCCACTCAAAGCTGTTAGTGGGGGGCTGCTCCATGCCAGCCTGGCACAAGCCTGCTGCTTTAATCTACGGAGGGAGGAAGCTCCGGTGGTAGAGGAGGGAAGAGAGGGTGTCCATGGGGGCTGTGCCTGTGGGGTGGTGGAGGACCTGGTTGTAAACCCCTTGCTCCCCCAGGCTCCAGGGCTCCCCCAGGCACTACCCCTGGGACCAACCTGCAAACAGGTGCCCACACCAGACACCCTGCTCTCACAGCCAAAATCGGCCAGGGCTAAGACCTTCTGCTGGGGATGGGATGCAGACAGGGCCATCCCCGTACCCAGCCTGGGCTGGGGGGCTGGCAGAGGGCTTGGCTGACCCGGGCTCCCGCAGGGTTGGAGGTAAAGCATGCCCGGGCAGCAGGTGCTGGCACTGCTCTTGGCTCTGTGACAGAGCTCAGAGCCCTTGCTGCCGGGCAAAGCCTTTCTTCCCACCCCCACCCAGCATCCCTGGGACCTGCTCAGCTGTGGGTGCCGTGGGCCAGCTCCAGTGAAGGTCTCGGCTGTTCGGTGGGGCCGGGAGGCCAGCGCCGCTGGTAGCAGCTTGCCACGCTTGCTGCAAAACAGGAAACCACGCTCCTGGCCGCTGGAGGAGCCGAGCGAGGGGGACGCCAGGGATGCCACTAATAGCTGTGGTATGGCAGCCAGGCGCCACAGCCCCTGGCTCTGTCCCGCTCTGCGCTCCCGCCTGGGCTGTGCCCAGCCCTGCCTGCCCCCAGCTTTTCTCGCCTGCCCTCCTCTGCCTCGCTGCTGTGCTGGGGACAGGAGTGTGGCCACAGACTCAGTGGGCCTTTCCAGGGAGAAAGCAGCACCCATCCCCAGCAGTGGCCCTGGGGGGCTGGGAAATCGCAGGGGCTGAGCCCCCTTCCTTTGTTTTTGCTACAGGCCCAATGGAGCAGGGAGGCTGGTGGCGGTGGCTGCTGCTGCTGGTGGGCATCCAGCTGGCTAGTGGCCAGTGCCCAGAGCAGTGCCAGTGCGTCCGGACTGCACAGGTGGAGTGCTCCGGCGCCAGCATCACCGTGGTCCCCAGCCCCATCCCCACAAACGCCATGACCCTCCAGATCATCAACACGCGTATCGCCGAGCTGGGCGACGCGTCCTTTGGCAACGCCTCCCTGCTGATCGGGCTGCGCATCGAGAAGAACAGCCTGTCGCGCATCAGCCCCGGGGCTTTCCAGCACCTGCCCGACCTGCGCTACCTCAGCCTGGCCAGCAACAAGCTGCAGGAGCTCCCTGTGCAGGTCTTTGAGCCCCTGGACAAGCTGGAGTCACTGCTTCTCTCCAGCAACCAGATCCTCCAGGTTGAGCCTTCTCACTTTGCCCACCTGAGCAACCTCAAGGAGCTGCAGCTGCACGGGAACAACCTGCAGCAGCTGAAGGAGGGGGTTTTCGACCAGCTCACCAGCCTCACCAAGCTCAACCTGGCCAGGAACAACATCGACCGCCTGCCGCCCCGGGCCTTCGAGCGGCTGGCGCGGCTGCAGGTGCTGCGGCTCTATGAGAACCGGCTCCGGCAGATCCCAGCGGGTGCCTTCGACGGGCTGCCAGAGCTGCAGGAGCTGGGGCTGCACCAGAACCAGCTGGAGACGCTGTCCCCGGACCTCTTCATGCACAACGGGAACCTGCAGAAGCTCTACCTGTCCAACAACCTCCTCACCACACTGCCGAGCGGCATCTTCTTGCCCCTGCGCGCCCTCGCCAAGATCACCCTGCATGTTAACCGCCTGCGGGACATCTCTCCTGGCGCCTTTGGGCCCATGCCTGACCTGCGGGAGCTGTGGCTCTACGAGAATGAGCTTTCCACCCTCCCTGCCGCTGTCTTCAGCAACCTCACCCAGCTGCAGCTCCTGGTCCTCAGCAAGAACAGACTGTGCTCGGTGGCCCCGGGGGCTTTCAGGGGCTTGGGAGAGCTGCTGGAGCTGTCGCTGCACTCCAACGCCCTGCGCCACCTGGATGCCCAAGCGCTGGAGGGGCTGCCCAAGCTGCAGAACATCTCCCTGCACCACAACCAGCTGCAGGCACTGCCTCAGGGCCTCTTCAGGGCCACCCCGGGGCTGCGGCACCTGCAACTGCACTCCAACGCCCTGGAGTACCTGCCTGCCGGCATCTTCTCCCCCCTGGCCGCCCTGCGGGAGGTGAAGCTGCACAACAACTCCTGGCGCTGCGACGAGGGTATCCTGCCGCTGCGGGGCTGGCTGGAGGACAACCCCCACAAGGTGGGCGAGACACCCCCCCTCTGTGGGCCACCCCGGGGCTGCGGCACCTGCAACTGCACTCCAACGCCCTGGAGTACCTGCCTGCCGGCATCTTCTCCCCCCTGGCCGCCCTGCGGGAGGTGAAGCTGCACAACAACTCCTGGCGCTGCGACGAGGGTATCCTGCCGCTGCGGGGCTGGCTGGAGGACAACCCCCACAAGGTGGGCGAGACACCCCCCCTCTGTGCCCAGCCCCCCACCCTGCGGG